AAGTCTTGGAAGAAAACATACTCTGTAGTATAGGAACTAAATAGATACATACACAAACCTACATAAACAAGTAGTACATTAAGCAATATGCAAGTAAATCATAATATTTAGGGGGAGAGAGGCTTCAGCAAAAGAAAAGATTTCTGTACTGAATTTAATTTTACCAAGAAAAAAAAAATTCAAAAAGATACTGAAATAGTTCACTGTCCACAAGAAGGTGGTCAAATGGTATGACCACAGCTCAAATAGCTCTGAGTTCAAAACTGAACCTTCAAAACATAAAATTCACACAAAAGAGTAGATAATTCAACTGAAAAGGCTAAAAGATTGAAATAGTCACTTCACAAAAGAGGATAGCCAAATGACCAGTAGGTGTATAAAAATGTTCTCAAACTCATTAATTATAAAAGAAATGGATATTCAAACCACAATAAAAATCAGAAAAACTGTAGTTAATGTAGACATAGACTAACTGGAATATTCATACTCTGCCAGCACGAGCACAACCACTTTGGAAGACTGTTTTTATCTCATAAAGTTTTTACCTCATATCTCATTTATCTCATACTTTGTGACTCAACTACTCTGCTCCTAGGGACCCAAAAGGGTGTGTATATTTAAAATGCATTTCTAAAAATATTTACAGCAGCCCTATTTACAAAAGTTGAGTCTATCAATGTCAGAATGAGTATACAGACTGGTGTATTAGTACAATGAATTAACATTCATCATTGAAAATCCTGACTGACAGAAGTTTCACACGCTTAAGTGATAAAAGCCATACAAAGCAGCACACGGTGGCAAGTGCTAATTCCAAACCAGAAAAAAACTGATCTATCATCAGAATAGGGATTACAGTTGGTACGTGTGAGTAACAGACTAAGATCAGAAGGCAAAGTTAGGATGTTTTGCAATGTTTGACCCAATGATGGTGGTAAGACAAATGTGTTCCTTGTTCACTTGTTTAAATCTACACCTGCACAGATCAACTTCTCTCAATTCTATCACATAGGTCTATTTATTCTGTAAAGGGCAGAATGAATATTTTAGATTGTGAGTCAAGAAGTAAAAATTGAGGACATTATGTAATTATAAGTAAAAAGCAGATCTCCATAATTTCTTTTTTCTTTCCACATTTATTTTTGGTGCATCAGAGTTGCACATAATAATGACATTTGTTGTTATATATTTGTATATGTGCAGAATAATAGAGGTCTAATGAGAATGAAATTTTTTGAATACTTGATTTAACTGGCATATAAAATTATATACAAATATAATTGAAAATGTTTGCAAATGTTCATCCACTACAAAACATTCTTATTCAGCTATAAATAAAAAATAAAATAAAATAATATCATCGGCAGGAAAATGGATGGAACCTGAGAACATTATTTTTAGTAAAATTGGCCAAACTCAGAATGTCAAGGGTCGTGTCTTCTCTCATATGTGGAAACTAAGAAGAAAAAGGGAAAGAATGGTGGTGGTGGGGAATCTCATGAAAATCAAAGGAAGATCTGTAGAAGAGAGAAAAGAGATCAGGGGATAGGAGCAGAGGAGGAAGAGGGGAAAGTGCTACGGAATGATATTGGTGAGATTATATTGTGTTCATATATGAACATGTAAAAACAAATCCCACCATTATATACAACTATAATGTACCAATAAAAATAATAATAATTTTCGCTTGCAGATCACACAAAAATAACAGGCAGAGGCCTGTAATTTGGTTCCTAGGACATGGTTTGCTGATCCCTAATTCCCTAGTCTATCAACTTCTTGTAAAACAACAACTTCTTAATAGATTTAAGAACCTTGCTTTTTTTTTTTTTTTTTTTGTCATCTCTTCCAACATCCATAATGAGAATTCTTTGAAAACTCAAGTCTTAAAGTTTCTTTATCCCACTTTGGTGCCCCCAACATATGTTCTAAAGCATTTCCTCCTCCTCCCTTTTTTTTTTTTTTTGCAGAGCGGGGGCAGGATGGGGATTGAACCCAGGGGAGCTTTACCACTGGGCTACATCCCTACCCCTTTTTATTTTAAGACAGGATCTCCCTAAGATGTGTAAGGCCTAAGTTACTAAGGTTGATATTGAACTTGAGATCTTCCTGCATCAGCCTTCTTCGCTACTCAGATTACATGTCTGCACAACGATGCCTATACTGTTTCCAGCTTTTGTGTACCTCTTTTTGGTATCTGTCACTTTCAACCTTGGTTTGGATATCACTTTCAGCTCTTTCAAAGATTTTCTTTTTAGCACTATTATTGATTTCTTCTTTTTCTCTAATCACGTACAATTTTAATGTCAACATCTAGATCTGAAAAATTCATATATTTTCTAGGTTGTGGCTAAGGTCAAATAAATAATGTTTCAAACCTAAGCAATAATATTATTCAATCACATTTTGTGCTTTTCTCTGATCAGTAACTCTTAATTAATCTCCAGATAATATTTATCTACAAGCCTATCCCCAAATACTTCTCTATTACTCTTAAAACCTTCCCCAGCTACTCCCACTATGACAATGACCATCATTAGTTCTATAATGTGTGATTTTTGATGTCAGTTGAGGATCCCTATACTTGTCTTCAGTCAGTTTCCTTGATCACCATTTCTAGTCTTTTCCTCTGTACTCAAAACCCTAATTCCCTGTCTCCACTTATAGTATGGCCTAGTATCCTAAGGGAAAATATTCAGGAATACTTACTCTACCTCCAAAGTATTAAATGCTTTATATGCATTACCTCAAGTAATTTTTCTAACAATCCCATATCAACATTTTATTCATGAGAAAAGGCTTAGTTAAAAAGGGAAAGAACCTGCTTTGAAGGGCACAGAGATATTAAATCATAGAGTTAGGATCCTAACCCAGGTCCAAATTCAGTACACAGAGACCCACACACTGCACCACTTATCCTTCCACTTCAGGAGAATAAAAAAAGTGAGACATAAAGATGTATTATTTAACTATTTATTAAACAGCCATTAAAAGCCAGACAATTTCATGGGCTGAGAACACAGCAGGGAATGAAATAAAGCTCCTGCTCTCTTGGAGCTTATGTTATCCAACACACCACAAATATTAGCAAATTATTTTCCTTAGTGCAATCGTGATCACTGACTCTACCCTAACTATCTAGACTTCAAGACTCAAAAGCCCCTCAAAAGTGGTTTCTGCCTACTAAAGGTAACAGAATCTCAATTTTGACAGCCCCTTTGCCAAAACTTGACCAACATTACCTTTGCATTATATTATATAATTATATTTTGTATTACTTTTGCATTATATTATAAACATACAACTTTATAGCACAGGTTAAGTTTTTTAATGGTGAGATGCCTGGCTCTAATCTTAAATTTCTCACAATTCCATGCCCCAATACTTAGTAACTGCTAAATAATCTATCTAGTCTTCCTCTTCATATATAAGAACCAACATTCTCTCTAGGGAGGAAGGTATTGGGTATAGATTATGTTTCATTGTAGGACATGACTCTATTAAAATTTATATGTACACATTCCTCCCTTTTTCTGTCTTGAAAAAATGAAAGTGTAAAGAACACAAAAAATATGAAGTTCAACGACTTTAGAACACTTCTACATGTAGTTGGTAAAGGATCTCAAAATATGGCCCATTTCTCCTCCTTGATCTTTGGTAAATTATCCTTATCTATCAAAAAAAGGGAACAAGACAACAAACTCAACATTTTATTCAAGCTCTAATATGCAAGCATAAAAAGAAAGTGAAGGGAAAAATACATCCTTAAAGTTTTATATGGCAAAACATTTTTTGGACATTTGCTGAAAATGAACTTTGCTGTTTCTGAACATCAACAATCTTAATAGTTGTCTGTGTTTAAAAAAGGTTTATATAAATACCTGTTTAGTGAACCAGAATTATCTGGAAGCTTCGAGAAATTTATTGATTATGAAATAGCACCAATTTCCAAATAAACATAATTTTAACTAAGCTTAATATTTCTTTTAAACCAATCTTTCTTTTCAGTCCAGTAAAACTTTTAGGATGGAAACATGCTTTAAGATTATGTTCTGTAGCTACACATTTATTCAAGGTATCTCAAGGAGTTAAAGAAAGGTTAACAACCCATTCAAATTACTTGTAATCCATACACTTATACACTGGAAAACAATCTTTAAGTTAAAATCTGTGGTTTTGTGGAGTTTTAAAAAGTTTTTGGTCCCTGTCCGAATCTGACAACATCTGTTACGCTTCCAGGAAGTGACTACTTCAAAGATCAAGAAACAACGCAAAGAACTCACAATTTAAGTGCTAGGTATTTAAGTGTACGAAGGATTCGATATGCAATAATTCAAATCCAAACGCACGGTTCCTACAGTTCTCCAAAGAAAAACCAAAACTTCTAACAATACTGCAATTTGCTTTTAGGAGCCGGCCTGAAGCTCCAGCGTTACTACAGCAAGGCCAGGGAAACAACTTCCGAGAGACCTGACGCGAACGACCCCGGGCCCGCATCTCAAAAAGTGAAGCAAAGACCTTTCTTCCCAGAATTCTACACAGTCATCTCACTCCTTCCTACCGCCAAACTTCCCGGAGCTCATCAACTGGGACCAAGCTAAACGACTAGGAGTGGGTCCTTACTCTCCGGATGGGGGCCAAAGTGGCCGCCGCCTCACACGTGTATCAGGCCTAGGGCTACAGCCGCCGTCTTAGGGCCGTACCCGGCACCTCGCCCGCTCCCACACCTTCCTCGCGCCCACAGTCGTCTCACCTCCTTCACGGAGAGAAACTCAAGGAGCGGAAAGACCAGATGACGATCCAAAAAGTGGGCGATACGAGTAGTCAGGTCGTACTCCGCCATCTTGCCAAAGAAAAGAGGAGTATGGTTCACTAAAACTTTATTGGTAGAGCCGACAAACGAACAGACAGACGCCTACTGCGCATGTGCGCTGCTTAAACTCGATTAGAACAGGGCGTGGTGTTCGGCCTGTGGAGCGCAGAACAATGGCGCATGCGCACGGGTTCTTTTTTTCCTCTCGGCGACTCTGGGGGCCAGGGGGTGTGCCAGCAGCCGCCACCGTGTCTTGTGTAGCCGAGTTTGTCTGTGCTTTCTTTCTATTTCTAGTCTACGATTTACACGGTGATCCGCAGTCTGTTCCATTAATAATTATTGAAAGCTCAAAATGATTGTTCAGGCAATGGAGATTGCATTAGAGTGCGGCAAAGAACAAGGTAATGGGGCCCCTGCTCTCCAGGAAGTTACCTGCTAAGGAGTTCCTGAACTTTCATTTGATAATCAGTGATATAAGCGTTTGTTAAATTGGTTGTTTTGGGTTTATAGTAATGAGCTATAAATCGGTGGGGGTGTTTGGATCGGACTGTTTAATTTGACAGACAAAACTCGCAATCAGGATGGTTAGAGAAAGTCAGATGGCAATTAGGGTGTTTAGGGAAAACAGGGCAACAGTTGAGCTGACACTTTTAGTAACAGACGGCGGTGAATAAAATTAGAATCAAGGTAAAACATTAGACTAGGAAGGACTTTGATGTGTTTCAAAAACGAAGTTGTCCTGTGTGTGTGTGTAGAAGGCCCAGGTGATGATTATGGAAAGGAACATGGACTTTCCTCACCCCCAAGTGTTCTGACATCTCCATTGCTTACCTTCACATTTCCAGGCCTTTTCATTTTGTAGTGCCTGGTATGTGTGTGGGGGCAGGGGAGGGGGTCGTCTTGAACCTCTTCTCTTATCTACAGCAGTGCCCTATGGGATAACGTTCAATCTAATGGCTTCACATGCAGTCTACACACTTATAATTCCCAAATTACAGCCCAAACACGGACTATTAGTTAATCCCAGACTCACATATACCCAACATTTCAACATGAACACATCTCATACCTAACTCCCCCACGTAGCCACCAAAACCTATTCCTGCATTCTTCAACTCAGTGAATACTAATTCCATTCATCCAATTGCTGACCCCCAAACCTTGGAGTCATCCTTGGCTTTTTCTCTTACACTGTAAATCCAATCCACCAACAAATCCTTTAGTTCTAACCTTTAGGGCACATCCACATCCAGTCAATTCACATAATCTACCAAGTTATCCCTAGTCCAAACTATTGTCTCTCACTTTAATTTTTGGAGTAACTTCTTCACTAACCACTTTGTTTCCCCTCTTTATAGTCATCTGGAAGAGAAGAATATGTACATTTATGACAAACAGAGATAAATCTATTCTGGACTGGAAATAAATGTTTCAAGATAATTCTCTTTGATATCATCCATTTTAATGCTGTTGCTGCCATGGTTTCATAAGTGATTGTCAGGTGGTATAACAAAAGATTTTGAAGAGAAACTGCCTTTAAAGTCTACTTCTAGGCACACCAGTTTTTACCCCATAAGACCAGCAGGTGCCTCAATCTGGGTCCCAGGTGACTTGGAGCCAGAGCTATGTCTCCACCCTTTGCTGTGTTCTTCAAACAGAAGCCAGAGAAACTTTCAAATTTTGTTTAAAACCCACTGAGTCTTGCTATCTCGCCCAGAGTAAAGGATATAATAATATGATGCCCTAAAAAGCTCTAGGTCAACTGGACACTTAACCATTCTGCCCCATCTCCTGTATCTCCTCCTCTTGATCTCTTGACCCAAGCCACCAAGATTTCCTTTCAGTTCCTTAGATGCTCCTTTTCCTTCCATTTTGGCCTGTTATTTGCTATTGCCCTTATTTAAAGTATGCTTTGCCTGTTTGCCTACATGGCTTTTTCCTTATTTTTTTCATGTTTTGTTTAAATGTAATCTGCTCAGTGAAAATTTCTCTTGACCAATCTAAAAGTGTAACTCACCTGCCTACGAGATTTCTCATCTCCCTTTCCAGCTTAAATTTTACCACCATATTTTACTTATTTACTTTGTTTATTGTCAGCCTTGCTTCAATGTATTATCAGCTCCACAAGACCAAGGATTTTGTCTATTTTGTTATAACTGCTTCTTCAATGCCTAAACAATACCTCAAAAATATTTTTGAGTGACTATATGAAGAAAAGAAGGACTAAGACTTTTACTTTGGAGAGTGATATTATATAAAGATTCCAAAATAATTCAAGCTTATTCTAGCTGTTTCATGATAAATAGGTTATAAAAGGGCAGGAGTAAAAACAGCTAGATCAGTTTTATGTTCTTGAAGACTGGGTGAGAGCATGTGATAGTTTGGAGAAGCATATAAATACAGGTAGAAGAGATGAAATTTCAGATGCACTTTGGTGGTAGACCTGACAGGACTTGAGTTGAATCTGATGGATAAAGAATAAAAATGAAAATAATTTCTAGAAATACTCATCAATAGGAGAAACTATACACATAATCACATATCAATTTTCAGAAAATTATACTAAGTGAAAAAGTCAGTACCTAAAGATTATATACTACATGCATGTTATATGACATTTGGTGGTGGCAGGGTGGGGAATTGAATCTTGGAGTACTGTACCACTGAGCTACATCTCCAGTCCTTTTTTAAAAATTTGAAACAGGATCTCACTAAGTTACTGAGGGCTGGCCTTGAATTTATATTCTCTGCCTCAGCCTCCACAATAGCTGCAGCATTCTTAAAAAAAACCAAAATTATAGAAATGGAGAATTGATTAGTGGTTGACAGGAGTTAAGGAGAGTGTAGTGGTAGGGAAGGGAGGGTGACTAGAAAGACAAAAGCAATAGAAATCTTTGTGGAATGGAATGTTCTGGATCTTGACTATCTCAGTATCCTGGTTGTGCTATGGTTTTTGTTTTAAACAGTTTTGTTAAGATACAATTCACATACCGTACAATTTACTCATTTAAAGTGTACCATTCATTAACTTATTAGTATATTCACAGATATGTGCAACTATCACCACAATTTTTTTTTCTGGTACTGGGAATTGAACCCAGGGCTGCTTTACCTCTGAGTTATATCCCTGGTCCCTTTTGAGACAGATTCTTGCTAAATTGCCCAGGTTGGCCTCAAACTTGTGATCCCTCTGCCTCAGTATCCCGAGTAGCTAGATTACAGGCATGCACCACTGTTCTCAGCACTATAGTCAGTTTTAAGAAAATTTTCATCACTTCAGAAAAAAGTTTTGTACCTTTTGATTATCATACCCCTCTTCTGTTTTTCTCCCCCCTACAGCTTGATGCATTCACCTCGCATCTGTATAGATTGCCCTATTCAGGAGATTAATATGAATGGGATTGTATAATTATGTAGCCTTTTGTGTCTTTTCAGTTTGTATGATGATTTTGAGTTTCATCCCAGTAATAGTATGATATCAGCACTTCTTTCTTATGGCAGAATAATATTTCATTGCATGGATATACCACTGATTGTTTGCCCACTCATCTATTAATGAACATTATAACTGCTAAATTGTGGGGGATAGTCTGTGTGATCTCTAAGAGTTGAAAAATGATAGTTGTAATTTGAATTTTCCTGGAAGTCCAGGGACTAAAGTTGTAACAAAGTATAAACAAGAAGAAGGGGACTTTTAAAAGAGGAAGGATGAGAACCTGAACTTTCAACCTTAGTGAGCTAGGGCATAGAAGGGAGGGCAGAAGCCAGACTGGGAAACTTGGATTTGATCAGATAGGCAAAGGGAGCCACTTATTAAGTTTTTAAATAGAAAAATACATGAAGACAGTGGTGTTTTGTCCTTTAAGATTAAACTGGAAGTGATTTACAAGATGGATTAAAGTGGTGACAGACTGGAAACTCTGCTGATTTGCCTGGCTTTTCCTTTGGAATTTTCCTTGCTGGTTAGTGAAAATATCTTGTTTCTTGTTATAAGGGAGATTTAGCCCCAAATATGGAAAATTTGACTTTCTTGCTTTAGTCTCTTCCTAGTGTTTTCATTAAACACAGAGGTATTACAGAGAAATCATAGGCTAGGCATCACCTGGTGCTATCTAGGTGAAATCAGGTGTAAGTTTTAATCTTCACACATTTATCAGCTTATTAAATGCTTTTCATTCTATGATCACCATGTCAAACTGTGGGAAAACAAGGAAACCAATCCCAGCCCATAAGGAATTCACAATTTAGTATGGGGTGGTGAGCATATGAAATGTAAAACTAATCATGGCACTGTGTGAGAATGTCTGTGTACACAATGTTCTTGGGAATTCTGGAGAGGAAGTAACTCAACTGTCAGAGAAGGTTTGAGCCTATTAGGGAAGGTAACATTTGACTACCTCTACTGGACAGGCTAAGAAAGTGGCAAAGGCAGGCACACAGGTTTGGCCTCATTAAACTTGAGAAAAAGCATAAAGTGATCAGAGACTTTGAGAAGATCTTAGTACCCAGAGGGTAGGCTATCTGGAGTCGCACAACATGAGTCTGCATTGGGAGGTTAGAGCTGAATTATCAAAATCCCTGTGGACTGTACCGAGGAGTTGAATCCTGTTCTGGAGGCCAAGGATCCTTAACATTCTCTTTACATCACTCTCTTTGCTGTGCCCTCCTGTGTCTTGAGAAGGCTCATCATCTCTCAAAGACTTTGGCAACATTCTTTCAAAGTGTCTCCCTGCCCTGGCCCTGTACCTGTCCACCCTGCTAGCTGGGTGATTTCCGTGGCTTAAATGTGTCCCCCAAAATTCACGTGTTAGAAACCTGACCCCGAATGCTGCAGTGTTGAAAGCCATACCTGTTGGGAGGTATTTGAACCTTGGGGGCACTGCTCTCATGAATTAATTAGTGCCATTATCATGAGAGAGTTTCCTATAAAAGATGAGTTCAGTCCCCTCTTGCTCTCTTTCACCTTCCCTTTGCAAGGATACCCTCACCAAATGCCAGCCGCTAAATCTTGGACTCAGCTTCCACAACCATGAGTCAATAAGTTCCTCTCCATTCTAAGTTACCCAGTCTGTGGTATTGTTATAGCAGCACAAAACAGACTTAACAGTTATTGAAGTTGGATATAACCCTGTTATGGTATGTTCCCTCCACATTTGTATGTTGATGTCCTAACCCCCAGTACCTCAGAATGTGATTATGTTTGGAGATAGGATCTTGAAAGAAGTAATTAAGTTAAAATCAGGTTATAAGTTTGGACCTTAATTCAGTATAAACTAGTGTCTGTAAAAATAGAAGATTAGGACACAGACATGTACGGAGGGAAGACCATGTGAAGATAAGGAAGGCAGACATCTGTAAACCAAGGAGAGAGGCCTCGGAAGAAACATTTCTACCAGCACCT